TATCTTTTTAATATTCATCTTTATTAGCTAAACATCAGTATACCTGTATATATACTCCTAAGAGGTTAATTCAATTATTATCATAATATTGCTAGACTCTAAGTTCAAAATTCAAAGCATTCTGATTAAAAATGGGGTAGTGACATGTGCCAATCTCTTCTTACTTAAAACCCAAATAAAATGACAGAAAGAAAATTTTTCAAAAATCACATTAACCCATTAAGTCACCGAAGAGATTTCAGTGGCAAAACAGTTCCAGTAACTTTGTGAAGACAGAGAGATAATACATGAGGAAACAAAGCAGGTAAATTTATTTGAAAACATAATTTGAGTTTGCTGAGGTCAGTTTACCCCACAAAATCTCTGAGAAGTCATCATTGGGTGAGGTAGTCTCCCCAGGAAGAAACTGATGAAAATCTATCATCGAGTAAATTCTTTCTTCTAACCTGTCCAGGCAGGGCTAGTTTTACCCTAAGTTTTGCCCCAGATAATTGTCTTCATCTCTGCATATCTTTGCTCAAGTCTTAAGGCATCAGGGCTGATGCTTTGTGCTAAAAAGGGGGGAGTTGGAAAGAGTAACCTCCTTTCCTCAGCCAGATTTAAGACTCCTTTCTTACACACAGAAACCAGAGAAGCACTACCCTAAAGAAATCAATAGGCCAAGCAAGCAATCATTTAGGTTCTTGACTCTCTATCAGGTTAAAATCTGGATTCTGCTTCATGCCTGCCAGTATCTCCCACCCGACAGTTCCAAGTTGCGTACTCAAGATTTTTGACCAACTCTTTTTTCCTCACTCTTCAACGTGAAATATCAGCCTTAAACACTGTATATTTAAAATAAGCCCAAAGCAGAAGACAAAAATCCCCAAAAATTTAAAATTGAGAAAATGATAAAAAAAAAAATTCAGGTAAGAAGATGAGAAAGGTTACAGAGGGATCAAAAAAAAAAAAAAACCACTAAAACTTTATAAAAGAAATTTACTTAAGACAAGAAGGAATGTCTGGAGCGATAGCACAATGGGTGAGGGCGTTTGCCTTAAATGTAGTCAACATGGCTGACCCGAGTTTGATTTCCTCCACCCTTCTCAGAGAGCCCGGCAAGCTACCGAGAGTATCTCTCCCACACAGCAAAGCCTGGCAAGCTACCCATGATGTATTGGATATACCAAATACAGTAACAACGAGTCTCACAATGGAGACGTTACTGGGCCCGCTCGAGCAAATCGATGAACAATGGGAGGACAGTGACAGTGAAGAAGGAATGTATGACTTTAGAAATATTTAGAATGCAAGAATTGAAATAAGAGAGATTGCCTGGTAAATTGATAATAATATTCAGAGAAAATGTGGAAACAACAAAGCTAAGAATAACTAACAATATTCAAAATTAAATTTGAGGATCCACTGTTAAATTCATTGACAGTTTGTAAAGAGAAAATGAGCAAAACAGAGTGCGGACATTATCAAAAATTCATGACAATAATTCCCAGAATTTGATACCATGATTATCTTCCTGATTAAGAGGTACCAAGTCCTGGTACTACAAATGTAAGTACACTCATACCAAGGAGACTTACTATAACAGAAAAATTCCAAATACATCCAGGGTATGCCTGAAAGGTTGTAGAAAATAAGGTTCTTGATTCCTTTGCATGTGACCAAAACTGGCTTGAAATAACGTCTGGTGCTACATATTGTCCACCAAACACCACCAGCAATCTAATCACTCCTGAGTCAGAGTCAGGAATATCACCCCCAATACTTCGGGTTGTGCCCAGCCATCTGCCCCCACCACTCCACAAATAAATACTAAAGTACTTCTACGAAGTACACAATAGAGAGAGAATCAAATGGCATTACGCTTCTCCCTGCAACACTGAAACACTAAAAAGTAGAGAGAAATTACTTCACAGGTACCATCAGGACAGCTCAAAGATGATCCCCAGGACCATATTACTCACTGAACATTGCCACATGTAGCTCTGGAGGACCCCATGAGCATCACCAAAGTGGCCCTGGGGGCACTAGTGCTGCTGAATCAGTAGTGAGCTCTAGCATTGGACAGTCTTCCCAGGATGGTCCACCATGACAGAACAGTGACCTACTCAGTCCCTAAGCAATATCTCACATTTGGAGAAGAGAAGCTTTCTTCATAATTCTAATCCATAGTTATCTTTGGAGAAATTATATTAATTGGGTCTAACGATAAATTAGAGACATATTTTAAAATGCAATAGCTAACAAAGGGACTCTATTTTCCCTATTCTTTCTGAAGGAAATTGCTAGAGGAAATGTTAAGGAAAAACGCAAGACCCTAAAAAAGTAAATGAGCATGCTTATAAAGGAAAGAGCAAACTGCAATCTCAACTAGGAGGATCAAGGTGTAGAGAAACAGAGAGCTCTAAGAAGACTATAATGGGCTATTTGTTGTACGTTTGGACATTTGAGGGATTTACAGGATTGCTTGAAGGGGAAAAATACAAACAACTATCTTGTGCAGATAAAGGCAAGCAAATCAAAAATAATAGAGCAGCAATTAAATATGGTGATAAAAATGCTAATATGGGAATAATTACAATAACGGGCCATATAGCATTGTAGCACTGTCCTCCCATTGATCATCGATTTGCTTGAGTAGACACCAGTAACGTCTCACAACAAATTCTAAGACTTGTTGTTACTGTTTTTGACATATCGAATACATCACGGGGAGCTTGCCACGCTTTGCTGTGCAGGTGAGATACTCTCTGTAGCTTGCCGGGCTCTTTGAGAGGGGCAGAGGAATTGAACCCAGGTCGGCTGTATACAAGGCAAATGCCCAGTCTGCTCTGCTATTGCTCCCCTGCTGAAAGTGTCTGGATTTTAGGACTTTACAGGGATAAACTAAAGAAAAAAAAGTGCATCAGTCAAGATTAGACAAGAATTATTCTTTTCAGAATTAAGCTTTTGAAAAATCCATTTTGCTTTGCCTAAGACAATTTATGTGACTCATAAAAGTTGATACTAACATAAAAAATAAAATCAATATCTATAGCCATATATAGTTTTAAGAAGAAAATACAATACATTTACTCATCTTGAATATTGGCTTGCTTCACTATCTTGTGAGAGGAACAACCACTTATTTCAAAATTCATTTTAGTAAATACCATGTTAGCCTTGAAAATACTTTTTGAGGGGTCAGAAGGAGCCATAAAGATAGTGCAAAACCTGGATTCAATCTCCATCATTCCAGTTGGACTCCTAAGCTGTTCTGCCTGTATGATCCCCTGCCCCTCAGTGCAGAACTGGCACCGCATCTCACACCCAAGCATTGAAACTCACCTCCTGTTGGTTGAGTATCACTAGGGACCCTGAGCACAACTTAGGAGATGCCCATAAAAGATTCATCTTTTAATATGATCATTAAGTATTTGAAATGTCACTTCAATATCTTATCAGATTTTTTTCTGATAAAATGTTTCTGATAAGATCAATTACATCAAACTAAGAAGCTTCTGCACTTCAAAGGAAACAGTAACCAAAATACAGAAAGAACTCACAGAATGGGAAAGAATATTTACCCAATACCCATCTGATAGGGCTGGAGTGATAGCACAGCAGGTAGGGCGTTCGCCTTACAAGCGGCCAACATGGCCGACCCGAGTTCAATTCCTCCACCCCTCTCGGAGAGCCCGGCAAGCTACCGAGAGTATTCGATATGCCAAACACAGTAACAACAAAGTCTCCAATGGAGACGTTACTGGGCCCGCTCGAGCAAATCGACGATCAACGGGAGGGCCTTTACCTTTACCTTTTACCCATCTGATAAGGGATTAATATCCAGTGTATACAAGACACTAGTAGAATTGTACAAGAAAAAAACTTCCAACCCCATCAAAAAATGGAGAGAATAAATGAACAGAAGTTTCCTCAATAAGAAATACAAATGGCCAAAAGGCACTTGAAAAAATGCTTCACATTGCTAGCCATCAGGGAGATGCAAATAAAAACAACAATTTTTGTTTGTGATGTGGTGTAACATCACACCACAGAGACTGGCACACATTCAAAAGAACAAAAGCAACCAGTGCTGGCATAGATGTGGGGGAAAAGGGACACTCTTTCACTGTTGGTGGGAATCCCCATTAGTCCATCTTTCTGGAAAGAAATATGGACAGTCCTTCAAAAAGTAGAAATTGAGCTTCCAGATGACTCCGCAGCACCAGTTCTGGGAACATATCCCGAGGATGCAAAAAGCACAGTAGAAATGACATCTGTACCTATATGTTCATTGCAGCACTGCTCAGAATAGCCAAAATCTGGAAGCAACCCAAGTGCCCTAGAACAGATGAGTGGTTAATGAAGCTTCGGTACATCTACACAATGGAATACTATGCAGCTGTCAGGAGAGATGAAGTCATGAACTTTGCTTAAAATGGATAGACATGGAGAGTATCATGCTACATGAAATGAGTCAGAAAGAGAGGGACAGATATAGAAGGACTGCACTTATTTGTGGAGTATAAAGCAACATAACAGGAGGCTGACACCTAAGGATAGCAGATACATGGGATAGGTAGATTGCTCCATAGCTGGATGCCTGCCTCATGAGCAAAGGGGAGAAGACAGCTGGAATAGAGAAGGGATCACTAAGAAAGTGATGGCTGGAGGAATCGGTCGGGATGGGAGATGTGTGCAGAAAGTAAATAAAAGACCAAAAATAATAACCTCTCAGTGTCTGTATTGAAAACCATAATGCCCAAAAGTAGAGAGAGATTATGGGGGATAATGTCTGCTGTGGAGGCAGGGGGAGAGTGGCAAATGGGGAGTATACTGGGGATACTGGTGGTGGGGAATGTGCACTGATGGAGGGATGGGTGTTTGATCATTGATTGTAAACCAAACATGAAAGCTGGTAACTATATCATGATGATTCAATTAGATTTAAAAAATAAATAAATAAAAGGTTTCTGATAAGACCAATGGAAAGAAAATAAACTTTTTTTTTTTCCTTAGGAGAGGGAAGAGTGTGCGAACACAGTTTCCCCACTATCGCAAATTATGCAGTCGAGTTTCTTACATTTGGGAAAGTCACAGGGGTCAGCCCAGATAGAGGGCCATATATAAGCCTTGCCCTGGGAAAACACCTTCCTGATCATGGGGTGTCCCCTGTCAGATAAGTATAAAATAAACATTCTCTTATTCCCTTAACCACTCAAATCAAGGCTAATGAACATGGGGAACAAAAATCAAGGCCCAAATATCATCCTGCCAAATATCTTGTTTTTAATTTAAAATGTTATTATGCACAACTTATGCTTTCTAAATAAAAATTAAATTTAAAAAATATGTCCAGGGGCTGGAGCAATAGCACAGCTGGTAAGACATTTGCCTTCCTTGTGGCCGACCCAGGTTGGATTCCCAGTATCCATATGGTCCCCCGAGCACCGCCAGGAGTAATTCCTGAGTGAAGAGCCAGGAGTAATGCTTGAGCATAGCTGGGTGTGACCCAAAAAGCAATAGATAGATAGATAGATAGATAGATATAGATATAGATACATATATATCCATTTAATTTGTATATCCTAGTCTAATAATCCATCTGTTGATCTTGAGAAAAAATGTTTACTCTTAACTTTCTAGTACAATTGTTTTGGAAAAGTTTCGAATGTAGATTTAGTAAAGAATTGGAAGATACTTACTATAATAAATGTTACAGATAATTGCACAAGGTTGGTATTATTAATGCCAGTAAAATATTCACTAACATGGTTAAATGTAAAATTTAAACCTTTATATTTTACATCAATAAAATAATATATGATTACAGCAATTAAAATATGTTTTCTTGTTGTTGTTTTATTTATTTGTTGAATCACTGTGGGAAAAGTTACAAAGCTTTCAGGTTTAAGTCTTGGTCATACAATGATCAAACACCTTTCTCTTCACCAGTACTCATTTTTCACCACCAAGAACCCCAATATACCCCCCCTCGCACCCCTCCCAATGCCTGTGAGGCAGATGATTTCTACTTAACTCTCTCTCTCCTTTGATTACATTCATTATTTCGAAAAAAGAGGCACCATTATTGTTTAAAATTTCCACCCAACAATCAGAACTGCTGAAAAGGCATTGTGAAATACTTTGTTTTCTATAGCTGGCTATGAGAACTATATGATGTCTCACAGCTGCTATCCTGACAATGTGATTTTGGATTTCTTATATTTTACTAATTTAAGTCTGGAGGGATTTCTGCTAAGAGCCAGATAGTTACGATATTGGTTTCTGTGCCTTTGGAACCATGGCCGTGCCAGAGAGCCAGTCGTGGGTGGCAACTCATGGCCTCAGTAGGGCGTGAAGGACGAGCCAGTACTACCCCCTTCCCTTGATGCTGCAGTTTCCCCATCACCGCTGGTTCATACCTGGTTTTCCAATAAGCTCTAAGGTGGTGGCCACCTTGCTGCTGGGGGAAGAGGGTGTGGGGGTGGAGGGTGGGTGGTGGAAGGCGGAAGGGAGAGACACCCTTTCCCTCCCAGGGAAGCACGGAGCTGCAGTATAATGCATAGTTCATTCATTCACTTTTCTGTCGCAGGCTGCTGGGCTCTGTTTTAAGTTCTTGTGCCTCTGGAGCCATGACCATGCTGGAGAGCTGCTCGTAGGAGGCAACTCATGGCCTTGGTAGGAAGTGAGAAAAATATGTTATTTTTGAAGTGATAATAGTTTGTTTAATTCATATTCCCCAAATCACTGATGATTATATACATATTTTAATTGGCCAGCTTTCTTTTTTGCAGTTCTTATAATTTCTTCTTGGAAAAATTCCTGACTTTTGTCCACTTTTGGAAATATATTGTTTTTTATATGAATTGTTTAAATATTAACTTTTTATACTGTAGAAACACATTTCCCATTTACTCTAAAAACAGTTTGCTTTTGGGGATTGGGGTCATACCAGCTGCACTCAGGAATTACTCCTGGCTCTGCTCTCAGGTTTCACTCCTGGCAAGGCTGGGATACCTCATAGGGTGCTGGGGATCAAACCTGGGTCAGCTTCATCAAGGCAAGTACCCTACCTGCTGTACTATCTCTTCAGCCTTGAAGGGGTTGCTTTCTGAGTTTGAAACTTAGGTTTTTTTTAAAATATTAAATCTTTCATATTTTAAATATACAACCCTCAGGGCTTAGGGAATCTGCAAAATACCTTTTAGACTTAATGAAAAATTTATCAAAGTGAAACAATAAAGGGGTAATAAACAAAAAAGTCAATGGTATTTATCAATATATGTGCTTTAATTCAGAAAAAATGTCATTTTTAATACTACTAGAAAGCATAAGTACAAAACATAAATTTTAAAATTAGGACATGATATAGACTATAAAAACAAATAATTTTTGACATTTCTGTGTGATTTCATTGTGAATGTAAACAATACAATGTTATTTTTAAACTCTAGTTTCTAAATGAAATCATATGAGTAATCATATACTTGCTTAAATATTAAAGTAGTTGTGTTGGAAAATGAGAAAAACTGCTAGAAAAATGCCCCATGTACTTTATATCTGGCTTGTCTTTGGAGACTGTGCATCAAGTAAAGCTTGACTTCAGATGTGACTGTGGTCCATGCCAACTCTTGCTGACACAGCAAACAGAAAGATGAGAGGGAAAATTCTGGGTTTCTTCAGGCCGCAATAAAATGATCCTGCCTGAAGCATTAAGAAATTGAGTGACACTGGGATCTGTGCTCGTACAGCCTTCCCTTGGGTCAGAGGAAGGAAGATTTATTAAACCAGCAAGCCACGTTACTCTTACTCCCTTAAAAAAAAAATAATTAAGTTTCCAAAAAGGAGGTGACATTTGCTGTTGGCTTTTTTGTTTGTTTGTTTTTCAGTTGTGTGGCTCATTTGTTCTGTTTCACCCACTGGCTACCTTTAAAAAGATTTTAAAGGAACTAGGAGTATGGTTCAAAGGTCTTGAGCACAGACTTTGCATAATGGAGCTTGGGTTTGTTCCCCAGCATTGCTTAGTTCTCCCCAGGAGCTGCCCTGAAACATCACATCATGAGTATCCCCCAAGCATTGCTGTGTATGGCCCCCAAATATAAAAGTAAATAAAAATATGTAAAACAAAACTTTTTAAGCACTACTCCTGGGAAATACTCCACAACACATACACAATTCAGAACACGTGATGAAATATAGTCTCTCTTGAATAAAAAATCCCTGATAATTATTTCTTCTAACAAAATTTTTAGTGAATATAAGTGAAGAATTTAGTTATTTAGTAATCATCTATTTAGTAATCATCTGGGCTAGAGTGATAGCACAGAGGGTAGGCCGTTTGCCTTGCACGGGGCTGACCTTGGCCGACCTGAGTTCGATTCCTCTGCCCCTCTCGGAGAGCCCGGCAAACTACCGGGAGTATCTTGCCCGCACAGCAAAGCCTGGCAAACTCCCCGTGAAGTATTCGATATGTGAAACACAGTAACAATTGTCACAATGGAGACGTTACTGGGCCACTCGAGCAAATCAATGAACAGCGGGAGGACAATGCCAGTGCTAGTAATCATCTATGATGACTCTACTTGAAAATCCTTTAACATATTTTTATTTCTGCATGTAATGCAACATCAACCAACTTAGAGTCAAGAAAGTCAAAGACAAGACAAGACACTGAAACGAAAGGGTAAGTAGCCACAGAACTCAAATCATGCACTCTGTTATGAAGGTCAAGGATTAAGAGATACAAATTATTAGATTCAAGGTGAGTAAAAGTAAAACACAAGTAAATTCATAAATGTACTAACTATGTAGATGAATTATCAATGTAATGATTTTTTAAAAATAGCATTTTTAAACAAAAATTAAATACTGGAGAGGTTAAATAACATGAGCAGTCATTCAGGTTAGAGTGTATAGAGACAAGATTTGAATTCCATTTATTAGAATCAACTTGAGTTGGGCTCTGACATATAATCAGAATCTTACTATATGTGGTCTATATAAATAAATAAGTTAGTTCACATGAAAGAGATGAAATTAGCAAAGTCCATTTTTTGAGAAAAAATGCTTGGAGGAGAAAAACAATGAAACATATGAAGAAGTAGTGGAAAAGAAGCTAAGAGAACAATTGGAATAAAGAAAACAAACATGCAATAATAACAACAAGAGCAAAGAAATGAAGAAGGGAGAGCAGAAGGGAATACAGAGAAATAAGGAGTTAGAGAAAGAAATAAGGGGGTGGTGGAGGAAGAAAAAGGAAAATAAAACAAGAAAAACCTCTGTAACTGGTTGTAGCATTTGGATATGAATAAAACCGTGACTATAAATTAAATTAATAATCAAGGGAATAGACTATGTCTGGCCTACATTTATTTCTTCCAAAAGATCTAAAAAAACGCTTCAAAAATGAATGAATATAAGAGTCAATCATGAACATTTAATTTTAGAGAAAGTAATTTACAATGTGTGCATACTTGGGTTATATTTTTCAGGTGGTAATTTTTTAGAGACAACTATATACTCCTTCTGTGTGACTTTCACTTTTTAAAAAAACTTCAAAGTCAAATTCATATTCATGTCAGAAGACTAAATATTAATTCAGCAAATGACTTGTTAGAATATAGAATTTCAAAATTGTATTCATTGTGTTTATTTTGGTTTCTATTTAATTTTGCATCACTATTTCTACACCTGTAACTTCTATTTTTTCTTTTATCATTCTTTAATAGTAAGTTATTATTACTCATAGTAATAAATACATTATTATTTTGAGGTCTGTGATATCAATCTGTGATTTCAAGTTCTGCTGTCACTTCTAGCTTCTATCTCATTAACTAAAGTCAAGATGAATCTGCATCATATCAAGTTCTGTATTACATAAATGGTGTATAAAAAATTCCAGATATCCCACATTTACTTATTTTTAACAAGTCACATCGTTATATTGTGTCTAAGATCTGTTGGTGCTTATCTGGCCTTCTTCTGTCTCACTAGAACTGAGGTGCAAAGCCTTCCACAGTCCTCACTAAAATCTAGAAATAATACTAGTTCCTATTTTATGATCATTATGACTTAGAAACACAGCAAAATTTATTTATGAAGATGGCCAATTTTTCCCAGTGTTTGATGAAATAAAATGATTATTTGTATTCTGATAATATTACTCAGCATTCTTTTAGTTTTCT